TGCGCACGCGATGGGCAACTCGACGGGGACTTCGCCGAGTGGTGGGAGGAGTTCCGCCGCGCGTCGCACGGGCAGGGCGGCTTCGTGTGGGACTGGATCGACCAGGGGCTTGCGCGGGTCGACGTGCGGAGCGGCCGCACGTACTACGCGTACGGAGGCGACTTTGGAGAGGCGACGCACGACGGAGACTTCAACATCAACGGGCTGTGCTTCCCCGACCGGAGGCCGCACCCCGCGCTCGAGGAAGTCAAGCACGTGCAGCGGCCGGTCGCCCTCTCCCTCGTCAGCTGGGACTACTCCCCTCGCGAGCACGGCGCGGCGCCGGGCGGCGGCGCGGCGCTGGGCGGCGGCGCGGCGCTGGGCTGCGCGGCGCGCCTCCTGCGCGCCCGGCTTCGGGTCGAGAACCGGTACGATTTCGTGCTTCTGGGAGGGGTGCGGGTGCGGCACCGGCTCGAGGTCGACGGAGCGCTGGTGGGAGAGACGGCGCCGGCGCCGCTGCCCGCGCCGGTGCCTCCGCACTGCAGCGCCATCTTTGACGCCGCGGTCGAGCTGAGCTGGGAGCACCGCAGCGGCCCGGCTGCCGCCTCGCGTCGCAACCCGATGCTGCCTCGCGAGGCCTTCCTCTCTGTCGAGGTGAGCGTGGCCGCTCCCTCCGCCTGGGCGCCCGCCGGCTTTGTCATCGCCACGGAGCAGTTCTCCCTCTCGCCGCCGCCGCCGCCCGCCGCCGCTCGCCTCGTCAGCACCGGCGGTGACGGCAGCGCCGACGGCGCCGTGGCGTCGCCCGACGACGCTGCCGCCTTCGCAGCGCCGGCTGCAGAGCCCCTCCTCCTCTCCCGCTTGCCGACGATGCGAGGGCCGGTCGGAGGACCGGAGCCCGCGCCATCGCCCGCGCCCGCGCCGCCGCCGCCGCCGCCGCCTGCGCCGCCGCCGCCGCTGCGGTGGGAGGAGGAGGCGGCGGGGGGCGGCGTCTGTGTGCGCGGCGGCGGCGCGGCGGGCAGGGAGGAGGGGGGGGAGGAGGAGGGGAGGGAGGAGGAGGAGGGGGAGGAGGAGGAGGGGGAGGGTGCGTGCCAGCCCTTTGAGCTTCGCGTGGGCGGCGAGGGCGGGTTGCGACTCTCCGTCGGCGGTGCGCAAGGAGATCGTCGACTCCCTAACCCCACACCTGCCTACATCTCCCCGCATCTCCCCGCACCTCCCCGCACCTCCCCACATCTCCCCACATCTCCCCACATCTCCCCGCATCTCCCCGCATCTCCCCGCAT